AAGGTGTCATGTCACATGTTGCTTGCTATTAAATTTGTTACGTTACGTAAGTGAGAGTGGTAGCTATTATTAATATATACATAATTAACAAGATTTGTGCTACTTAGATTTTTCATTTTTCTTTGCATGGTTAGCTTTAATTGTTGCGAACCCTCCCCCGTGCAATATATCTCTCGTTATCAATGTAAAAAAAATAATTAATTAATTTCCAAGTTTGTTTGGGTTTCTTATCTTTTTTGTTTTATTTTCTTCTTCAGTTTTATTTTTTATTATTTTCAGGTCAAAAATTCAAACAAGTTGTAATGATATCGATAATTAGTATGAGATCTTGGCAATGTGCTCATCAAACCAATTTACAATCCAAGCTCGTGGAAATGCTGGTGGCTGTTCATGTTGAGTTGCCAAAGTTACATACAAAACACAATACTTGTTTTTTTAGATTAGTAAAATGAAAATTTTATTAAATAAGAGCACCTCGGGATAAAGAGGTTAAAGAAAAAACTTTCTACATAAAATTAAAAAAAGTTATGATTATTAAATCAATATAATTTTTTTAATGAATGATATAAATTGAGAATTTTATAAAATAAACAGTTCAAATTACTGATAATATATATGTAATAGATCTCATGAGTTTAGACAACACAATCAATGTCATATTTGAATTCGAAGAGATGCCCAAATTCACCTTATAAGTTGCCAAGTAGTTCACCAAATTTTATTGATAGTATGTGAGAAAGGGGTTTCGACTCCATCACACTATGGTGTGGATTTGTCAATTCTATGCCATTCTCACAGTATTTCGATTTTAATAGCAAATTAATGCATGTCTGTACTTGGGATGTTTTATTCTTCTTTCATCCATTTTTTTAATTAAAAAATAATATACAAATAATTTTTTTCTATAGAAAAATATAATCTAAATAATGTGAAAGTGACGTTTTTTAAAGGAAAAATTAGTCTAAGGTCCCTTTCCCATATTTAATAATAAAAGAGATCCACAATATTATTTTATGATGTCTAAAGTCCCTCAACCCTCATACTCATATATCACAGAGAAATTTCTCAAATCAAACCTCATTTTTTTTGTCTCTCTCTCTCACTCTAAACTCTTCTGCTTAATTCATCTCTTCTCCTTTCTCTCTCTCTCTCTCTCTCTCTCTCTCTCATCTCTATGTCTCTTTCTCTCTCTAAAATGTTCTATCTCTAAAGCAACAGTCTTGATCTTCTAGATTGTCCCCATTCCCACCACTATGCCCATGCTCGTCACCGATCTCTGCTCGTCACTAATCTAGGCGTGTTTGGTTGCTGAGAAGAGCAGAGATCACAGAGCTTTACTTTAGGCTTTATTGATTAGTTGATTGTTGTATTAAAGGTTGCGTGTTTGGTTGTTGAGAAAATGTGTGAAATAGAACGAAACTTAAAATTTGAATATTATTAGGTAGAAGGTCTATGATGAAGATGATGAAGAAGATGAAGTGGGTATGAGAGATGTTGGAAATCATAGAAAATAGAATTTATCTGATTTTGGAGAGAATTTCTCTGGAAAGGTTTGTTTGGGAATTTCTCTGGTTTTGAGAGAATTTCTCTAGGTTGGGGAGTCCAAAGAAATTTTGGAAAGAATTTCTCTAGACTTTGTATCAGTGGTTGCATGTTTGGTTGCTGAGAAAATGTGCGAACTGGGAAAAAACTTAAAATTTGAATATTATTAGGTTTAAGGTCTGTGATGAAGATGGTGAAGAAGATGAAGTGGGTCTGAGAGATGAATAGAGAGCTGCCATTGAAAATCATAGAAAATGGAATTTCTCTGATTTTGGAGAAAAGGTCTGTGATGAAGATGGTGAAGAAGATGAAGTGGGTCTGAGAGATAAGTAGAGAGTTGCCATTGAAAATCATAGAAAATGGAATTTCTCTGATTTTGGAGAAAAATTCTCTAAATTGGAGAGAATTTCTCCAGGAATTTCTCTAGTTTTGAAAGAATTTCTCTGGGTTTGGGAGAATTTCTCTAGAAAGTCTAGAGAAATTTTGGGAGTCTAGAGTGAAGTCTAGAGAATTTCTCTGGATCCAATTTCTCTGGATCAATTTGAGGGATCTTAGACATTATAAAAATATTAGATGTCCTTTATACTATAAAATCTTAATATCAGGAACCCTAAAAAAAAAATCCCCCTTTTTAAATTGTAAAATATAATAATAGATATTTTCATTAAAAATGAAATGAGCATAAAAGTCACATTATTCTGTTTCAAAATTCTATAAAAAAAAAAAGAAGGAAAATCTTTTTGGATCGCATTGGCCATTTCTTTTGGATAACATAGTGTGTTTGGTTTGAGTTTTTTGAAATAAGTTTTTTGAAAATTGAGTTTTTTTTTTTTGTTTTTTTTGTTTTTTTGTTTTTAGTAAATATTTTTAAAATTTTAAGCATTTTTTTAAACTTTTTTAGATGCACCTTACTTAGATGTATCTAAAAAGTAAAATATTTTTGAAAAAATATTTTAAAAAATTAATAAATACACAAAACTACAAAAAAATATATTGAATTTTTGTTTTTTTTTTTTTGTTTTTTTGGTATTTAGTGAATTTTTTGAATTTTTTTTTAAAGAAAATTATACTTTTTAAGTGTATTTATGTTAAGTGTGTCTAAAAATTAAAAAAATTACTTAAAATATTAAAAACATGCAATAAAAATAAAAATAATACGGAAAACAAGAAAGTAAAATTTTCCGAAAATTATTTTTAGAAAATACAAACCAAGCAAAGTGATGTTAGATGAAACAAATGGGTTCAAAATTTTGTAAATGATAGGACTCCAAATCATGCAATTCAGATGAGCATATTAATTAATAAATTAAGAAAAGGGTCATTCAAGCATAAAATATTATCTGAGTAGACAAAATTCCTTTCCACCACAGAACAAGAGAAAGTTAAAAGAAGAAGAAGAAAAGAACTAAAATGAAAAGAAAGATAGAATTACTTTCTGTTTGTCTTGATGAAAATTATGAACTTTTTTTTTTTAAAATAAAAAAAAAAAGGTGTTGTAGCAATCTTGAAAGTAATGCTAGGTGGTTGTATTAGTGGTAGCGGTGGTGGTGGTGCTACTGGTAGCGGTGGGTGGTAGTGACTTATTAGGCCGTAAAATGAGCTGCCTAAGGTTCGTTTGTTTTGATGAAAAGCATTTTATAAATTTTTTTATCGAAAATTATTTTTTTATTCATTGTAAAAAATGTTTTTGTTGCAATCTTAAAACTAATAACATTGTTGTTGTTGTTGTTGTTTTTTAAGGTCTGTGATGAAGATGGTGAAGAAGATGAAGTGGGTCTGAGAGATAAGTAGAGAGTTGCCATTGAAAATCATAGAAAATGGAATTTCTCTGATTTTGGAGAAAATTTCTCTAAATTGGAGAGAATTTCTCCAGGAATTTCTCTAGTTTTGAAAGAATTTCTCTGGATTTGGGAGAATTTCTCTGGGTTTGCTCAATGATATTCTTAATAGAGATACTGCTATGCCACATGCCAATTGATTAATTTCAATAAATTTTCACAGTATTCTTTTTGCCTGTAATCAGGTTTCAGATTATTTATGGAAAAAATAATAAAAATAAATAAAATTTGGGCTATAAGTTTATGTATTCCCAAAGCTAGTATTTCAACAAATTATTATGAAGAGCAGAGCTTTCAGCCTTAGAGTTCCTTTCATCTATGGAAATGAAAAAAACACTTGTACGTGTAAAATGCTAGATGGCTTCGTTACGACTTATGACAATGTGCAATGGGGAACACTATGGGACATATTTTAATTTTTTGAGTCATAACTAAAAAAAAAAAAAAGAAAAAAAAAAAAGATGTCATAAGTAAACATAACATGAGACATAACTAAAGAACTTGTGAGTTATAACTAAAATAATGTCATAACTAAAAAAGAAAATTGATCTGAACTAAAAAGAAAATGACATAACTAGAAGTGCATATTAAAATTTCACATATGCAATATAATCAGAAATTTGAATAATATCCAAATCTAGTTCTTATTACACACTTGAAATCCTGATAAATATTCAAATCTAGTTCTTATTACACACTTGAAATCCAAATGATATCAGAATGTCTTATGCAATTGAAATTCAAACTACTACAAAATCATAAACAGATCACACTTTTTATGTGTGATGTATATTATTTAATCACACGTTTTAAATTTTGTCAAAGTGTAATATTTGAAAGTGTGATTAAAAAGGATCATTTTTAATTACACGTTTTGAGTGTCATTAATCATTAAAAGATGATTCCATCACACATTTTGCATGTGCAATAATTATTTAGATCACATCTTTTATGTGTGATTAATAACATTTAGATCACATCTTTTAAGTGTGATTAATAACTAATAAAATATGTGATAATAAACATTTAGATTACAGATTTTAAGTATAATTAATATCTAATAAAACATGTGATTAATAATGAGATAAAATCACGTGTTATATGCATTTCTCATCACAGTCAATACATGTGATAAAAAAAGGGTTTGACATATTTAAAGAATAATCAATATTGTTTTTGTACGCGCATTTGAAGAATGCAATACACACCATATACTATCGTTTGAATTACAACCACATATTGAATGAAATATTTTATAAATGAAAGTTGAATGTTTAAAAGTATATACAAAGGAATTAATAAAAAGTTTTTAACTATGATTACATATATTAAAAAATGAAAAAACTTCAACCACAAAGTTCTTGAATTCTTTGTCCATATTTTGCATCTCTCCAAGCAATTTCTGGCTCGAAAAATAAAAATATAAATTAATTCAAAGGCCGCTAGAAGCATATTAATAAACTTACTATTTGTAAGACAATTAAGTAAAAATTCATATCTAACACATTGCATGTATCAAGTATCTCATTTATCATACCCAATACATTGTTCTTGCTGACACAAAAAAACTAGCCACTTCACCACCACCAAAACAAACAAAATAAAGACAGTAAGCTAGGATAATTGAATTAAAAACGAGTATATCACCTCCATGACTTCATAGACAGACTAGCATTCATATGTGGAGACACATGCAAATTCTCAATTTTCAATCTTTAGTTATGTATTTATTATCAGCTCAACTTCAACCTCGTCCAAAAACTTGCAAGCCTGGTTTACCTGAACTAGTGCCTCGGGACAAGACTAAAAAATAATCAGGAGAACACCCAAGGGAGATGATGTCTTCTCTAAGATGAATCTGTCTGCAATCTGGATAAGAAAGTAGTCCAAAAATATCAGTTCATGAGATCAATGATGATGATGATCAAAGGCCACGAATAGAAAATCAAAAAGTAATAACCTCTTCCAGAAATGAGAAACAAAAAAAAAAAAATGGAAAAAAAGAATATGGCCAGTTGTGTTGATAAAAATTGTAGACGTGCATTCACATAATTTTCAAAGAAGCTAACCTAGTTTCTTCATTTCTAACACAAGGTGCAAAAGTCAGAATTTGATTGTGCAACAAAAGATAGCTTGAGTAGATAAAGGGAAATATTACTAGTTAAATCCTTTTAAACATATTAATGTTCTTTCTGTACCTTTCCCTTATCAAAATACCCAAAGTCTGAATAAATTAAATCCTCAAAATTCCATTTCAGTACCTTAGGTTTCTTCAAAACACGACCAATTGGCTCTTCCATGTTTGCAAGCACACGAATTGAGTTTGCAAGACTTGAAATTCACATATCATAAGATCGAATTTAGAAACAATAATACATGAATGCCCGGAGAAAGAAAGAGAGGGGTTTCCCAATGAGAACATTTTACAGAAGGAATGCCACTTCTGTAAGTAAATATATCTGGGAAATAATCATGAAGTAAAACAAAAATCGGAATCCAATCTAACCAAACTTCCATAAATCAACAGTCTTGCCTAGCTCAATAATATGCCCTGCTATCTATATCAAAATTAAAAGAAAGAAAGAAAAACTAAACACAAATCGACCAAAGTTTTGCCTTTCCAGGCTTTAGAGTCAGCCAAGCAATCAATGATTGTTCATAGCCAGCAACATCAGCTTCATTTTCTATGGCGATCAGTCTTTCATTTTCTTCCAGGGCATCAGCTATGCTCAGCAAAATTTTACTCCTGTCTTGTGGAGACATGGCCTGCAGGGCAAAGCATATCACAATACTCACAAAAGTCATGCTTCCAAACAAGAATATAAATCCATGCACATAAGTTTTTCTGGCAAAGAGAGCTTCAACTCATATATACAAGGATATCAAATCTTCATGATTTTTTACCTGTAGTTGTCTGCAACCCTCCCTTGCTGCAACTGTCATCTCACGTGCACCAACTTCTCCAAGTGGGACCCACTGGTGCGCATCCTGATGAAAGAGAATACCAATATAATGTATTGAAGAAGAAATTGAGAGATATACACTAATAGATATGGAAAATGCAAGAAAATAGGGCAAGAATAAGATGAGTTGAACCAGCGGTGTGCTTAGAGGAATAGCTAAAATCATTTCTATCACATCCACGATTTTTTGAAGAGCTGGATGATCATCGCATTCATTCAAAAGAAATACAATTCTCTGTTGAAGAATTGTAACTAGCTCCACCATCTTAACCATCACAGGAGCATTTGAATCCTAGACACAATTAAAAAAGGAGATAAAAGGTTAAGGACCAAACGAGTTTAAAAAGTAAATTGTAAAATACATAGAAATAAAGCTTGGAAAACCTTGTAAAAAATATATGCATGAGCTGATTTATGAGACGAATTTAATTTCTGTTCATGCTCCAAACAAAGGCGGAACAAGTGTTTAAGAGCAAGTTTAGCATCCAAACTGGACAATAGTAATCCCTCTAAACCTGGACAAAAAGACATCATATGAAAGAGAGCTGGGTGGCAGAATTAATAACTAATCTTTTGTCCTTCCATTCATATTTAAGGTGTCAGCACACTTACTCATCAGTTCAATAGATAACATAAGAAGCTCCAAAAGGTCCAATACAACAGCATGAGAAAATATACATAAAAGAGATCGTGCATAAGGATATTCTCAACTACCCAGAATCTTACTGATAAAAACACCAACCTCCACAAAAAATGGCGAGCATTATGATATAATTGTAACAATCAGCAGAAAACCATTGAAATCCAAAACCACAAATACTTGCCCAAGAACTTCCATGTGAACGATTTGCATGCTTAAAATCAGAATGATAGAAGCTTCACATAATCCAAGCCACATAACTCACAAAACAGATGAGGGCAACCTTCTTACACTATAAACATGTACCAACTTATTCAAAGAGAGGATATGAATACTGCATACACCTGCATGGTCAGTTCAATACTGTGCTTTAATTTGGTAATCCCTAGCATATGTTCAATTTGAGTGAATAACTAACTTCTTGGTATACTCTAATGTAGTTTTTGCAAGTTAACCTGCAACTTCATACTGACATTTTAACTCTATTTTCTTTTTCTTTTTCTTTTTTATAAGCCTGGTAACATGTTAAACTAACTTATCAACTAAGACCATGTTAGGACATCAAAGCAAAATCTTATTTCCTCATCCAGGTTTGATATCTCATTTATTATAACTTTAAAAATCCATCATCTTGAATGGCCATTGCAGAAAATACCAGCAAATACTCAAGTGCTTATTGAACCAATATGAAAGCCGAAGTTATTTTTAATACATATCTAGGGCACAACTTTAGTAATTAGCTTTGCTGGCTGGCTCCAATCATGATGAAAGCTGCATCTAAACATGCCATGTACAGGACAATAAAACAATTTCATTTCCAGAACTTCCAAACAACCCCCAAAAGAAGCCATTTATATTAAAAGTCATTAATACTCAATAGTTTTTAGATGCCATGATTGTCGAGTAAACATGATAAAAATTGTGCGCAGATTTTAAAAACTCATCACCATATGAAGCCTCCAAATCATACATTGGTTGATTTATTGATTGATTTTGCCAAAGAAAGAGAATAGTGAGATCTATATCTGTACCCCAGAGAAATATTGCTATCTTTTAATAAATCCGAACACATAATACTGTGGCAATCTTCTAACAACAAATGACTCCTTACAACAGAACCAGGCACATGAGATGGACACAAACAGGTTCACTATTTATATGTCCATTGCCCATTCCAAAATAGCCCACTATTTGTAGAATCCAAAACATAAGCAAATGCAAGATTTGCTAGGTACAGAACAGTACAAAACCCATTTGAAAAGATGACAATGGTTTCTTTTATGGAAATTTATTATAGTAAGAGGCAAGGCAAGTTACAGATGATTAACAAGTTTACAATCCATCAGAGGATGTGCGTCACACTAAACTATATTTTAGCATTTTTACATTTTTTTTTGGTATCATAATGCTCACTCCTTACAATGAAACTATATTTAAAAAAAGGGTAATGATTCACTATCACTACTATCATTATGCCATTTTCCAAAACTGATGCTAAAGGCTATAATAAATTCTGTTCTAACTTTTTATGTATAAAACTGTAATAAAAATCTATAGTGTCTATCAATGAAGTGTATTGCACACTAAAATCCTGCCCAGATCAAGTTTCTTTATTATGTCCAAAATAAAGACCTGCAACATAACATATGTTGATAAAGCCAGGAAACAAAGAATGCTAGCCTATCCATTGAGCATCGTGTGCATGACTTTGGTGTCACTACTAAATATATACCAATTATACAAAACCAAATGGCCAAGAGAACATATAAATAGAACCTCAAAGAGAAACCTCCAAAAAATAAATATAAATAAATAAATAAATCCAAAAACAACTTGTATGATTTGGAAATTTGAAACAAGATTATACACTGAATATGCACACAAGAAGAAGAAAAGGGAAACAATAATCTAACCGTTGCCGCAATGAGAAGGGTAATTGGGTAATTGCAAGATTCACAACCATCGTGAATATGTGGAAAAAATTCAAACCTTAGAAAGGAAATAGGTCCCCCTGTACACAGCAATATGATTATCTATAAACAAAATACATACCCAGGTAGATATGTAGATATATTTATATACCTATACATAATTTCCCAGATGAATATATATTAGTACATTGCTTCAAGCCTCAGCCATTACAACATGACAAAGAATTCAATGCAGCAATGTGGAACTTCAAATCCTATTCATCGAAGTGGAACCAGAGAACATGAACTTGTTTACAGATGACAAATTTTGATTGATTGCCCCATTGTATTCAAAATGATATAATTCAATAAACAGAGTTAAACCAGGAGAAGCAAATGAACAAGGAAATTTGTGTCAAACTTTTATACCCACAACTTAATTACTTTGCAAGAGCAAACTTTCCCTTATACAATTTCAAGTGCCTGAGTAAACATTGAAATTCACAAATACATAATATATAGTTACATAGATAGGTGTGTTTACCTGAGGAGGACGAAGGATACGACGTAGCAGAGGTGCTGATCTGAGAAGAACATCAAGGAGAGTGTGTGAGATTGAGGGATAGAGAGAGGAAGAGAGAACAAGATTAAGAGGCCAGAGAAATTCTTATTGAGAGAGAGAGAGATGAACATAAAATAAAATAAATAAATAAACACATTCAAAAACAAAAATTTAGAAAATTAAAATAAAAATAAAAATAAAAAAAACCAGAGCATACTAGCTTCTGAGAGTTATCATGATAAAAAAATAATAAGTAAAAATCCAAACAGATGGATTATTATGGGCATACTACAGCTTTTCGTCGATTAATATAGTATTCTTGGCGCATAACCTTCAAATCATAAAGAGAAAAAGAAAGATGAAATTAGTACAATGTGGGCACATTTCAATAAATCAATAAAAGAAGAAAACCGATAAATATTGCCTCAAACCTGAGGGCAACCCAAGACTCCATAAGGCAGCCATCTTTCTCCCAACTTGTGATCAAATGCAAAGAAAACTAATGAGTGACAATTGGTAGAAAAGACCAAAAGATCCAGGATTAATCCAAAGAGTGTAAAAGGTCTGAAATTCAACATTATCAAAGTAAAAGATGTTAGCCGCTAAATGAAACAAGATAGTTGATGCACTAAAAGAAATGCTATTACACTTGTGAACCTGAAGAGTCCTGAGATGAAGAACAACAGAGCACTCTTATGTGAATAGTGATTCAAGGTAGTCAATAAATGCTCGAGTTATTTTGGTAGAACAAAAGGTCAATGGGAATTATTCAATTTACGACATCTGTTCATGGTCATTAAGTTAAACTACAATGAGAATGCGTTTGATCTGAAAATGCACCATTGTGATTAGAAAATTTTAGTGCACAAATTGAGCTAGAAGCAATATTCTTTTGAGTAGAAAATTGGCAATGTGATGCTTACTGAAAGGTCACTCATTTTGGAGAGAGAGAGAGAGAGAGAGACAGTTAGTTAGTTTTACCAAAAACAATACAGCAGCAACATCAATCCAAAAAACATGTTGTCTGTGCATTGCTCCAAGCATGTTCTTGAGCGTTTTTGCCTACGTTAGTCAGAAAATGATTGTTACTTGACAACATCAAAACTTGTTCATACACTCCCCTAGGATTGATTCATGAAAGCTCTGACCACTGCATTTGATATTGCACAGGATGTACAAATCTTGAGGGTGTTCTGTAACATTTGTATGTCATTTTCAAATATTGTGGCTTCCACTTTTGATTGCTATACTTTATAAAATTAATTAGTAACATTTTAAAGTGCTACAAGGAATAAATTAAACACATGATTTGCTTCATAATAATGAAGCAATTGGAGAGAGATTATTAGCTGAACACTAAAAAGATAATAAAGGAAAATGATGGAATAAAACATTTCAATGTTATAAATAGAATAAATATTATCAGTTACCATTAATTTTTCTGGCCAAGGCAAAAAATTTGATAGAGAGGCCAGCCGACCAAATCATAAAATGGATCACTCTAACCTGTAGAATGGATCACTCTGTCATTACAATCTGTTCAGCAGCCATAGCAGACAACCTATTCCAATTGTGTATTTTCTGGTCCATGGACGGTTTTAAACAACAAAGTGTGACAAAGATTAGCCGTAAGGCCCGTTACTTATAAAAATTAGAGAGCTACATTTTGAGTATTGCTTCTAATGAGATGAGAATATCAACAAAAAAACCTTCTCTTGTAATGCTTGTACAAAGGCCTCAGAGGCATCACCACTAGCAATAGCCACAAAGTTTTACGATGATTTTCTCAAACCAACTAATCAACCAATAAACACGAAAAAAATCATAAAAAGAACAAAAAATTAGAACAAATCGAGCAATTTATGGATCAAAGAACCGAAACAGAGAAAAAAAAAAAAAAAGAAGCAAAAACAGAACTGATGACAGATCTGCAT